CGTCTGGTTAGCAGGCAAGTATCTTAGCCACTATGCTACCAGAGCTCCCTAGGCTTTATATATTCATAATATACTAAATATATAAAAGCCACTAAATATTCATGGGTGCTCATTATTCATGTGACCTTCATTCAGCCACTTATTCACTGATGACACCCATTCTGGCCCCATGTGTCCTTTGTGAAAGAAACAAACAGAACTCATATCTGTTCAGCAGACTTACTGATGAGGTACAGCTGTGACCAGGCTCACTTGCCCCTATATCTCTCCAATAGAGCAAGTGTGTGCCTTTAACCCAGGACATCTTCTGTCTGTAGTCCTCCTTCTCTGAACCTCAACTCTGGTCTCATAACCACACCATCAGAGGGGAAGGCTTATGCAACAGACAGACAGGACACTATCACGTGCCTGAGGATTCAGGCAGTGTGGTCCTTCCACCAACTTAGATCCCATCCTAAGTATGTGAAACAACACCATCCTTTTCCCCTTGCTTTACACTGTGTATTTTAAATTGTGTTAATGCATCATGTGATTCAAGCCTTTATATTCCAAGGCCTCTGGGAGAGCTTGTGTTCTGTTACAAGGTCACCAGTGCATCAACGTAATCTCCCACATGAAACTCTGGCTGCAAGAATGGGAGCAGGGTGACCAGTTAGCAGCTATTCCATTTTTCTGGTCAAGAGATGAAGATAGCATGGGTTAGGATGGACAGATTCAGGATGTGCTTTTCTAGGAGAGTGAAGGACAGGGTTGGTGTGTGTGCACAAATGGGAAAGGCAGAAAGAGTGAAGACTGTAGTCAGAGAGGGCAAATTCAGAGACTAGTATATTGGAGATGGTAATGCTCCAAAAGATGAAGAAATAGCAAACCCAAGAATTATGGCTCCTTAGGGATCAAAGTGCCCTGAAAAGTCGTCTATACCAAACTACCAAACAAATGCATGACTTTCCTGCTACACTCCTACCAAGCTGTCAGTGAAAAACAACCCTTTATTTCTCCTTCACCCTATAACCTCCACCCAAATCCCTCCCAGGGCCATGCATCTAACACCAATGACCAAACAAATATATGACTCCCTCTCCCATACTACTATCCCCAATCCCCACCCCACCCAGGGCCATCCACTACAACTTCTGGCAGCTCTCTGCTACAAAGTTCTTCTTTCTGCTGACTTGAATTGTGACCCCTAGGTCTCCTTTCCTTCAGATTACAGAAAATAAGGTCATTTCTTATCCACATGACAGTCCTTAGTTTCCTAAAGACATTTATTAGGCATACCTGAGTCTTTACCTTAGAGACAAATATCCCCTTTTCACTATTCAGTCTTACATATGACAAAATTTCAGTCCTTTGTCAATTGTGGTTACTCTCCAATGAGGGCATCCAGAACTCAGCATCACCCAAGGGAAGGACCCACAATACAAACAGAAGAAATCTGTCACCTCTCATGATTTCAATCATATTTCCAAGAATGCAGCCTAGGACCACATCAGCTTCTCTGGTAGGCACATCAGAGAGTTAACTTTTATCTGTGGGTGAAGTGGAATATGACTAAAGATGATTGTCATGCATGGGGTGAAGGAACCATGAATTTTTGCTGAAGTACCATCAAGATTTATAGTTAACAGGAATGAGGATGAGGAGAGGGTGCTTTAAGCAGATGGCAGTGAATACAAGAAAGAAGAGCAGAACACCAATTTGAAAGGAGCAGTGAAAAACAGCTTTCTCTCCTTCCCTGAAGGTATTGTGGAGAAAGTGGTGTCACCAGAGCAAAAAGACCAAAGAATCTGAAGACAGGAAAGTTTGCTCACAGCAGAGCAGTACCTGAAAGCATTCAAGTCTGCAACAGAGGAACAAGAAAAATAGCCAAGATTGAGGTACAGAAGGCAGAACTGCTAAGTCAACCAATAATTACAATTCTGACTCATAGTGACCTCATGTGTGCAGAGGGGAACTGTTCCATAGGGTTTCCAAGGCTGTGACCTTCTGGAAGCAGACCATCAGGCCTGTCTTCCAAGGTGCCTCTGGGTAGGTTTGAGCCTCCAATCTTTTGGTTAGTAGTCCAGTGCTTAACTATTTGCATCACCTAGAGACTTCTAAGGAGCTCTAGTGGTGCAGTGGTTGAGGCATTTGGCTGCTAACCAAAAGGATGATGGTTCAAACCTACCAGCTGCTCTGCAGGAGAAAGATGAGGCAATCTACCTCCGTAAAGATTTATAGCCTTGGAAACTCTATGGGGCAGTCCTACTCTGTCCAATTGGGTTGTTATGAGTCAGAGTCGACTTGCTGGCAGTGGGTTTGGTTTGGTGTTTAGGAACTTCTACTGATGACCTAAAGGAGTTCTGGTGGAGCAGTGCTAAAGGCATTTGACTGCTAACCAGAAGGTTGGCAGTTCAAACCCACCAAACACTCTGTGGAAGGAAGATGGGGCATCTACTTCCATGAAGATTTACCCCTCAGAAACCCAATGGGGGTCACTATGAGTCAGAATCAACTTGATGGCAGTAGGTTTGGTTTTGGTTTTAATAATAACCTAACAGCATGTTTATATTCATTACTGTCAACATGTTAGGTACAGTATCATGGGGTCTTATAAAAAGCTAGAGAGTCCCTAAAGACAAGAATTAGAAGTGAAAGAACCATAACTCTGCTTTAAGTAGATACCTTGAGGCAGTCCACTATTTATTAACTTCGGTTCATTGACTTGAATTGTGTCATCTTCAGGGTAGAAGTAAATTTTATAGCGTCTTATTTGATAGTCTTCTTGCCTTTTATCAGGCACTTCATCTTCCACATAGGCATCAAAAGATAATACCTGTTGGAATACCAATCACAATTAAAAACTAAAAAATAGAAAAACAATTCAACAAACTTAATCAATAAAGCTACTGCATGTATCCTTTTTTTTAATGTAAAGAAAAAAGTTGAGGGGATTTTTGCAAGAAGATCTTCTACACATCAGCTATAAGAATGGACATACAATCTAGGTTAAAGTATATAATGATTATCTTAAATGTTTATCACTATCTGATTAGCATAAGCAAACAAAATCCAAGCAATAAATCCATCATTCAGCTCTATCACAATCGAGCTAGAGTCTGTCTTTGGAATTTCACAGTGGGATTCTATACATATGCATTATAGACACAAAAAGTTTCCTCTCACAAGATGAATATAAGTTTTGTCATTTTTTTTTCTCCCATTAAAAATAACACAAAGCTACTTTGGTTCTGGGATAAAATTAGCCTGATTCTTGGTCCTGCTGATCGCTTTCTTTGAGGCAATTCCGAGAGGAAATCTGAAATTCTCCCACTGCGCTGGAAATCCTGCCTCACACTTCTTCAGGAATCTCAAAGAGCTCAATGCTACACCCAGTCTCACCTTACACTAGGGGTAGCGGATGGGTAGGGGAAGGAGGAGAAGTAGAACCTAAAGCAGGATAAAAATCAGATATATTAAAAATACTCTTGGAAATTCCTTAACCACTTTGGAAAACCATCCTTTCAATAAGTGCAATGCAACCCACTTTTCTCCCACGTTGAAATGGATGACTGCCTCCTCAGTTGAAACCAGCTGAAGTAACTGCTTTATGTTTAGATGCTGTGTTACATGAACAGTATGTATCATAAACCACTGGAGTCACTCTTAACACAACCTGCTGACACAGTGAGGACATGGGAGTTGAGGACAACTGAGAGTACAGTAAATCCAGGTTTCTGTTTCACACTTGACCTGGGGCAAAGGGTCCTTGAGTACTCCAATATTCCCTTTCTTTGCTTCTTGCTTTCAATATGTTTTTATAGTTGAAGTTGCAATAATTCATTGTGCATATGATGGAACTCCAAGGTTATTCAACATGGACAATCTGTTATATTTGTTAGATGTAATCTACCCTGTAGCAGTGGTCAGTTACCATAATTAAGGATATACACTCCATGAATGTTTAGCTAGTTTCTATAAGAAGCTCACATTTCAGAGGTGGCAAAAAAAAAAAAAAAAAAAATGTCTCACTAGTCTTTATCTGTGAACAACACAAGAAGCATTGTTAATTACCATAATGGATGTTAAAAATCAGTTTTGGTTGGTGAAATGACTGTATTTAAAATGAATAGGTCAGTTACAATTATTGACCATCATTAAAACTACTTGCTGTTGGGTCAACTACAACTCAATAACTACTTTGTGTCAGAGTAAAACTGTGCTCTGTAGGGTTTTCAATGGTTGATTTTTCCACAAGTAGATTGCCAGGTCTTTCTTCCAAGGCACTTCTAGGCAAACTCAAGCCTCCAAACTTACAGTTAGCAGCCAGGTGCATTAACCCTTTGATTCACCCAGGAATTCCACACTGTCTTTACATGTCCTTAAGAATCTGGTGAATCTAAGATGGAGGAATAGGCAGAAAAGCGGCACAGACCCTCTTCAACACAGAAAAGAAAAACCAATTGATAGAGATACAGAAGATAATCCTGGAGTCCTGAGCTTTGAAAGGAAATATACAGAAGTGGATTAGGCACCAACTAGTGGAAAAACCTGAATGAAAACAGTGAGTACAGAGATGGTCGTAGCTGCGCACTGTCAGCTACTCTGATGGGACCAATAGCCTGAATATTTCCAAGAGGTGTTGGGACTTGT